TGTTGCTTATCCAAAACGTAACAACCAAATGTAGCTTCTTATGGTAAATAGCTAGTTCCATTAAATCTAACAATGACAATGAATGTATTTACAGACAATTGTTTATCAAGACATTTCTATTCAAGATACACATTTCAGCTTATTCGAAACTTATCACATTGATTATTTTTATTATTGTTCATGCTGAAACTACAACCAGATATCTATCATTTAGGATGCCAAAATGTGATACAATAAAACATTGAATCAGGACCTACAATAATTTGTTCAACTATTAACTTCAGCCAATATTGAAGCATAATAGTATTTGTAGGTATCCCAATGAGTAGAAGAATTAGAATTTTCTGACGTTTTGTAACTCAGTATAAGCCACTTCTTCAGAGAATAAATAACGAAGTCAAAATTAATTCAAGTTTAAATAGTACAAAGGAACAACGCAAGAATATTAGATGAGATCAATTTTAGAAAATGGTCTGAACAAGTTAATGTATACTATTCTTTTGATAAATTACATTAAAAATGGTTGTAAAGCTTAATTGTCTCATAGATCCATATAACATATTAAAGGGGTTATATAAGAAAATAACAACCCCATTTATAATGATACTGTAAAATTCAAATGTAGGTATCGTATTAGTTGGCAATATCCCTGAAAATAATGACAGTTAATCACATGTCTACCACCTAAGTATTTAGCTATAATTACCTATCTTACATCTCTATCGTGAATTCATTTGTGTCATAATAATGATGTGACTAGAAATCTAGGAATTCTGATTGCATAATTTATATGACAGTAATTTAGTATTATTGTGGTGTGAGCTACTTATATAAACATGAGTAGTATGTAATGATATTCAAGATTAGAATGTCTGGCAGAAGAAGGTCGAGAAGGAAATTACGAGGACATAAAGCGATTAATATGAAAATACAGGAACAATGAAATCTGAGACGATGGACTAATATTTTTAAAAGGAACAGTCCAATTTGAGACAACTGATTGATATTTTGCAAATTATGTATTTACTGTATGGTTCTCAGATTTTACTAAAATGTGCTGTAATTTTGTGTTCAAGTACATCCGATTGTCCTCACCTGTCTTTTCGTTCGCTACATTATCGCATGGTTTTAAGATTTGTCATCAAATTCATTCTACTAATACAAACATGTGTGATTCTGCGCTGATTAGTTCATCGAATTTACATCTACAACAAACAGAGTATTGTTATGTCCGGACGACGAATAAGTGAATGGTAACTGTTAGCATCTAATTTTGGACCGTTGTTATATATATTCTTATTGTATAACTATTACATGTATATTCACATTCCTTTTATTATGAGTTTTTATTTGGCCAATTGACTATTATTATATGATTTACTATTCTCAAGTTATTCCCAATTTATTAGTTACAGTATCTCACTCACAGCTACTCTTAGCCTAATCTTGTATAATTGATATTTTCTATTTAATGGTATGATGAAGTTTAATTTTCTTGAATACAAACTGCGTATGTACGAAATATATGATTCATACAGTAGAAACTGAGATTATGCTCTAGACTCAGACGGGCAGGGATAGGAGAATGAAACAATGAGGACTCCGAGTTGACTCTAGGTTGCTCTTGCCATTTAACGGTGCAGTGCCAAGGTCAAACAATTCAGTACTCTAATTGGTGATCTTATCACGTGATAATTAACTGGGCATAAGAATGTAACAAGTATATCCGATTTTTTAAAATTCTAGAGAAAGTCGTATCCCAAGATTTTAGTGAAATTGATGTTTCAAAATGTTTGAAGTCGCTGGATTCTACAGTTGTTACTTACTTACTTACTTACGCCTGTTGTTGTTATGCTTTGTAAAAAAAGTGCTTAGATTATAAAAGTGGAGAGTACATTCACTACAATTTTCAAGACTACATTTCTGCCTTTGATCCGGCTCTAATTTTTACGTTATTAAACATGTTAGCTGGATGACTAACTGTCTATGTTACTAGTTTTTGAAAAAGGACAGTATATCAAGTATGAAAAAAATTAACCCAATCTTTTATTGGCGTACTTCAAGAGGTACTCCTCCTCTTTCTCTTTTTTACATTGTCGTGTATCACTTGTTATCTACTACAAAAATACCTTCTTTAAAGATCCAAACTATCTTACTGTATGCATGCCAGTTTCTTCCTGTTTTAGTTTATTCGTAATGAATTGGTTCATAGAGAGCATTGAACTATGGTCTGTTCGGAGTAATTTGACATTCAGTTTTCCTAAATGTCAACCTTATGTGAGTCTCTGACATAAAAGAACATAAACGCCCTTCTGAAATAGAATGAATTTGATGGTATAAAAAAACCTAACTTATCTGAAAATGTATGCTATGATACATCACAATTCTGATTGGAGAAAGCAAATTTCCGATTTTCACAGACAATTTAGAGTGACTACTAATATTATTCGCTTAATGAATTAGTTTAAAGGTAGGTTGGTAGAATGGAATGAAAATAACAAAGATACACAGAAATCGAGATCATGAATCGATTAATGTCAGACCACCATTGAAAACCTGGAAGCAATGGACGTCCGTGTCGTTCCAGTATGCGACCTTACAGCTGTGCACATGCACGACCCTACATGCAGGACTCGGACTCAGAAACCTATGCTTCTAGTGCGAACGCTGAACCTCTAGACCACTGAGCCGGCACCTAACTGTGTTAATGTTTAACTTCAACTAATCCACAATATTGTGCGACCATCTGTCTGAGGAAGATACCTGTCTCTACCTGACATAGATTAGCTCCACTGCTCGCGGCTTCTAATTCGAACTCCGAGATTTCCCTCACGAAGATAGTCACCAATTAGCACATGTTATTTATCGGTATAAGGTTGTGGTGGTCTGACATTGATCGGTTCATGATATCAATTAAAACTCAACAATCTCCACAACCTTAATATGATACACTAAAAGATTTACTCATTTTAATGAAGATTGTGTTACACGTAAATGAAAAATACTCTTAATTTATCACATTAATGTATATATAAAGATTAAAAGCATAAAGTGTCATTTTTTGAGGAGTTCGGCAATAAGGTACAATTGTTATACTTGATTTTTATACAAAACATCGAAATACAAATCTACAACCATGCTTCATAAAGACATGTATCCTGGATATCATTTAAGTGTTTCCATTGATCTAGTGAAAAAAGATTAATAAATAAGGTTTATTGATTGAGATCATGAACTGATTGCTGTTGGACAACCATTGAAAACTTCTAGAGGTTAAGCGTTCACGCGCGAGACCGAAGGCCCTGGAGTTGATGTTCACTCCAGAACTGGAATGCAATACCACTCACTTCAAACGCAATCACGTTATCCACTTAGCTACTGAGTTTTAAAAATATTGAAATTTCGCATATAATTGTCGAGGCATTTTATATGAAAATCAATAAAGGTCAATTAAATAAAAGTACAAATAAACGGTAAGCGCTCCTTGTAAATAAAAGAGAGGAAACAATTAATATAATATGGAGTAGGAAATTGTCACACCACCCTATGCAGTAAATAATCCGAAGATAGGCAGGACAGACTCCAGATGATACTAAATTGTAACTGTACATATAAAGGGGTTTGAATTTGAGAACAGTTAAACTTTCTGCAAATCTATGAATTCGCTCTGCACAACAATTTGAAAGGTATTGTTGATGTCAATTCTATGACTCATTTTAATTATTGACAAACGCTTTTATAAATGCGTTAACAATTATATGTATGACCACATTATTAGAATGTATAGCTCAGATAAAATACATTTTTCCAGTTCACTACTTTAATTTACTAGGTTTCTAATGTATCAATGAAGATCAGTAACGTAACATTGCAGTTCGATTAATGTATTTACAAGTTAAAAGTAACCAACAGAAAATCTGAACATTAAGGTACATCGATAGTTGAAATCATGAGTCAATTGAAGCAAGACCACCACAACCTGGAAGCATTGGACGGCTGTCTAGTTCTAGTATAGACTCCTCAGTAAGCGCATCCACGACCCCACCCCCGCGAGTCCCATTAACTCATAATCTCAACTATAGAAATTACTAAAATCCCCACAAAACCCCTTCCGATATTAAGGTATATCTGTAGCTCAGCTAAATCATCCAGATATTGTTACATTTATGTGTCCCATTAACAACAACTAAAAACTTCTGACGACGGATCAACCAACACAACATCTAAGTTCCAAACTATCATCAGTCACTTTCATCCATCTTAAACAATACATTTTGTTTATTATACTGTAACCGTTAACTCACTAGATCTGAAGTTACAATTACGTCAAGATAGTTGGATCAGTGATTCAAATAATTGTTGCGAGTGCTAAGGCTTATTTTAAGTTGTGATTAATAAAGATGTTCACTACATCAACAAAATACTTATACTCATTGTACTTAGCTTTTAATTTCTATATGCACTATAGAAGAGTTTAGTGTATTTAATTTTGCATTTTTTTTTTCATCAGGAATTGACCGAAGTTAGGAAACTATTGAAAACTGGAAAGCACTGAGACCTAATTGTTTACTTCACAACAGTGCTCATCTACAACTCTAACGGGAAGTTGCATACCTGGACAAAGCAGCTGTCCATTAGTTGTCTAACAAAGGTCAATCTGCGATGTAAAATTTCTAAAATTATTTTATATGACAGAAAACAATGAATTAAGTTAAGGTTTATTAAGCGATGACCACAAAAATCTTCTTTAACTCTTAGCCTCATAGAATTGTGTTCATCAGGAACACTATATTTATTGCTCATTTACCATTGTTTGATTAGACTTCTTTTTCGAATAGGTTACCTGATACTGACCTCTGTAAGATTATTCATCTTGTGATATATCAGAACCGATATAAAAAAAAATTTAGTCTATAATACTAATATATTATAAAAACACTGAAACGATCTGTTATTTAATCATTCGGATATTATATGATGAAACAATTAAACATACTTACTTTTTACACAATTTATTCCATTGAATATTAGTGTAACTACAACACAAATTCCCAATACTTTCATTATGATGAATTCTGTTTTGGGGTTTATTTTTTCGTTGTTGTTGACAGGACAGAATCTGTAGTATTAATCGTGAGAATATGATTGTAACCAGAGAACGTTATGGTTTATTTAAATTGTATCTTAGTCCTAAATACACGGATATGTTTGTCCAAAGTTTTTTAATTATACGAGTGGGTGTGATTTGTGAACCATCAAATGAAGTGTAAGTGAGATAGTATAAAATGTATTTTATCATTTACAGAATATAAATTTCATTGGTTAATAATGTATTGGACATAGGCAATTTTTAATTTGTTTCCCCTTTGTGTGTTCATCATACGCTCGTCTACTTTTTATTAATTTGCTTAGATATAAGAAAATGTTGTGAAAATTTCTAAATTTCTAATGTTAGTCATCATCAACAACTGATAATTTGAGAGAGATCTAATATAAGTATAAAGAGATCGATCAATTGCGGTCCTAAACATCTATGGGAAAATTCAAGTAAAACAATACTAAGTGAATTAAACTTCAACCTAATGCACAAACAAGTGGCTATCAGGACTCAGTAGCTAAGTGGAGAACGCGATGGCGTTTGAAACGAATGGTACTGGGTTCGAGTCCCAGAGTGAACATCAACTCTGAGATGCAGGTACTTCCAGCTGACGGGTCCCAAATAGGACGAAACGCGCGTCAAACTGGATTCCACTGCTAGCCACTAACCATCTTTGCTTATAAGTGTAAAAAGGTTTCGTAAATTCAATATTGTTGTTAAACCAACATAGCTAAAATACAATGAGTTACGAGATTGTATCTGACTTGCATGATCATTCAGAAATACGTAAAACTGATCAGAAATCAGATAATTCAAAATTATCATGACAATTTTTACGATTGATTGATCACTGGGTAGTGATCAATGTCATGTATGTCAGATCCTACTTAATGCAGATCGAATTCTATCGACCAAGTTACAAATGTGATCAGTTTAGGTGACTCGACATTGCGTGTACTATATTGAGATAAGATGGTGATTGGAGGTAGTCAACAGGAAACAATGAAGCTATGCGATACGAGATCGAGTCCTTCAGGGAGCACCAGTTCCCTCAAGATTACAGGTACAGCTTGCTGACAAGTGCCAAGTAGCACGAAACCTAGATCCAGGGATTCCTGGTAAACTCGTTATTCTGTCCCGATAAATTTACTACTTAAAAATTCTCATTTCCAGGCATTCGGTGCATAGACAATCAGACTGAAATATGTCCAAAAATATTCTTATCAAATTTCAGTGCTTAAGGATGAGTTTTTTTAGTAGGTTACAAAGTATTTGAGCTACAGTTTAATTTGCTAACTGCTTCATCTTAGTTTGATACATGGATAGCTAGTCCTAATCTTTACAAGAAACTAGAAATCTTCAAATCTCAACGAATGCTTTAAGTTTTTGATTGAGATCATGAACCGATTGATTTTAGACCACCATTGAAAACCTGGAAGCACTGGATGTGACCACTGAAACTAATCCGTGTCGGGTAGAAACAGGTGTCTACCTCAGTACAATGGAAGATGGTCGCACAACTTCGTGGATTGGTTGAGATCAGACATTAACACTCAGTGGTCTAGAGCTTAAGCATTCGCGCGCGAGACTGAAGGCCCTGGGTTCGATTCAAGCGAGTGGGATCGTAGATGCGCACTGCTGAGGAGTCCCACAAAATGGGACGAAACGGCCGTCCAGTGCTTTCAGGTTTTCAACGGTGGTCTAACATCAATCGGTTCATGATCTCAATCAAAAAACTTGACAATCTCCACAACACCTAAATTGATAATGCTTTAAGTATTGAATATTCACTGAAATCTACTCATCATTGATAGAGGATAAGTTTCACAAGCTGAAAACTTTTACCAGTAAAATGTCGGCTTTATCTGTTCGACTAATATTTATGAATAAATGTTAGGATATATGAAGTTAATTAAGTTTAAATTAGCTAACCTTTGCATCGTTTATGAAAATCTCTAGAAGTGCAATGACAGTAAATAACAACGAAGTAAAGCTTAAGTCATGCGGTTGCCTCAAGTTTTTTTAAAGAGACGAAGGTTCGGTTGTTTGCAAGATACTTAACATTGTAACCATTCTATTTATCAATATAACAGTTCTCCAACAATAAAGAATTCAAACTTTCTTCTACAAGCTGTCGATGCAAATTCTGATACAGAATTTTAGGTATGTGTTAAAAATTCACAGAAACAGTCCAATGATGTTAGTTAAACTTGATATCAGGTGAGTTTCTTGAGTGATATCCATCCAGCATTATCAAAACAATAAACCATAAACCAATGAAATTCAAATCACTAACAGAAAGATACAATGTTAATTATAACATCTGAATACTGTAGGTCAGATTAAATGTATGATTGTAGATGTAGATAGCTAAATAATAAGCTTAAGCTGAAACAAAATAGCTTTTAATTTATCTCTAATTGTTATTAGTATGGTGTGTATTACTATTGTCAATAGACATAGGTGGTTTAATAATTTCGTATATGCATATAAATATTACTGTATATTAGAGTAAAGCCTGATGAGGATCTAATCGAAAACAATTTTGTTCGCTTATATATGTTGTTCTAAATTTACAACATGGGAATATTTCAAAATTTGTTTCTCACTACTGAAGAGTTCCGTAATAGGACAAAACGGCCGTCCAGTGCTTACAGGTTTTCTATGATGGTTTAGCTTCAATTGACTCCCGATCTCAACTGTTGAATTTATAAACGTTTACTAGTTGATTCATTGATAAACGTTAGATTATTTATAGGGATGGAAAATGATTTTATTTATCAACCACGGAAGACCTCAACTTTTAGAGAAGAAAATTACACAATGGATGATATACTGTGTTACAGAGAACAAAACTCCATCAAAAAGCATTTCATAATAGCCAGTTGTTTGAGAAATTCCAGATCCCAGAAACTGAACATTCTCCTAGATTGTTAGGTGCATTACACTGTTGTAACAATGATGATTAATAAGAAATCTAAAGAAATCTAAATCACATCATAATCCTATATATTCATTCGGTTCGTGTAATGTAATGCCTAATGTGTTTTGGTTTTTCTTAACCAGCTATTTAGAAACCAAGATTTAGTCGGATATGCAAACAATAACATGATTCAACAGAAATTCTTGAAAAACTGCACGCTAAAATTTGATCATTAATTAAGTGAATTTGAATAACTCTTTGAAAAACTCTTATCTACTTCAACAAGTAAAGCAACATATTAATGAATATAATTAAAACGCTTCATGCATAACACCATCTAGTTACTTAGGTCAGTGATGCCTCAAAATTCCGTGGTATGGTCGAGAGTGCGAAGAATCAGCTCTCCCTTTCGAAATGCTCTCACAAGGCCACGTAAATACAACCACTGCCAGGGAAGTCCTGCTCACTGCCTTCTAGCAGAGGAGGTGTTATTTACGAAATTGAGAGGATGAAAAGCGAATATCCGGTGCTGTAACCGGGTTGGCGGAAACGGACGGTTCACATAGGGGAGTTAGAGAACCCTGATTCTATACCAATGGTGCACATGTGCTACATGATCGTGAGGGAACAAATGGCGTATGCGTCAATTGTTGGCTACTGGCTACTATGAGACTGCATCTGCCGACATTACTGCACTGCCTTGTGGATCAGACCTTTAGATCGAAGGCTCAGGGTGTGATCCCACCCCGTGAGAAAACCATCTATTTCGATTTGGGCACTCGGACAATATCCTAACCGTCACATAAATCGAATGATTTATGTGGTACATAGCTTTTTGATGCCTCCATGTACGAATGTTTATGTGTTTAGAAAAATAAATAAGTTGAAATCATGAGTATATCGAAGCTAGACCAACATGGAAAACCTGAAAGCACTGAACGGCCCTTTCGTCCTAGTATTGGACTCCTCAGCAGTGCGCATCCAAGATCCCGCCCCCCAGCGAGATTCAATTGACTCATAATTTCAACTATTGAAATTACTAAAATCTCCACAAAATCCCTTCTGGAAATAAATAAGTGTCAAAGTTTTTTCAAGGAAGTATAATCAAACATCAAAATTTTTACCAATATAATTTCCTCCTTAATGTCTTACAGTAACTTGGTATCCAACTGTTTGTTCGAACTTAGCAGAAAGTTCTTTTAAGTTAAATGTAATTTTTGAATACATACCATACAAGTTATGTGAATAATAATTTACTCTACTGAATTTAACATTTTAAAAAACATCTTATCCGAAGGGGTTTCGTGGAGATTTTAGAAATTTCCTCGGTTGAAATCATGAGTCAATTGAAGCTAGACCACTATGGAAAACCTCGAAGCACTGGACGTCCGTTTCGTTCTAGTATGGGACTCTTCAGTAATGCGCATAAACGATCTTAGTTGAATAATAAAAGTATAACATAATAAACGTAATTGATTAGCTTGTTCACAGTATATATGATGGTCTGTTTAATTAGCAGAGAACTATAAACCGATAATACATTAAAGTTTCATAAAAAAAGGGTAGAAATAGCTTATCAACTTCAAAATGCATTGCTTTTTATAAAACATATATTTTCATAGCTTTGTAGTGACTTAGAATTTGTTAATCAATCTACCCTGATAACCGTTAGCATATAAATTCTTAACGGTGTTTGAACTCATAAGCGATGACTACAGTTTATTAGGGGACAGCACAGATCATAAAGCTATAAGCACATCGAGCAAATTTAGAGCAGATTGGGTAATGTATGTAAGCTAGCAAATACAGAGGTGGATTTATAGTCAAATCGAATCAAGGTGTAGCAAGACAAAGCAAAGTAAAGCATTAAAAGGTAAAGTAATTAATAAGATTCAAGCATGCACGTTTACAAAGATATAGACAAATTGTTATTGTTCAAATAACACTGTCTGTTAAATAAATTAATAAAAGGGCTTGCCAAAATTGATTAGAGGAAAGTTGTAAAATACCATTTAAATCCAAATTTGTTACAAAAAAAGGAACCGTTAGGTTATACAAAAACTTCCAGATTTATAAATCAGATCGAAGGTTTGGAGTTTGATAACAAAGAATGATCAGAATTTAGTTTAGTATATCAACAATCGGATTGTTTTAACCCTTACTAATAATAATATAAACACCACAACTTTATGTAAGCAATGATGGTTAGCAGTGGTTAGCA